GTTACAGACCTGGTATTTTTTATTTTTATTTATTTTTTTTAGGAGAAAAAACATGTAGAAGTTTAATGATATCTTGTATACCCCCTGTGTGACCTGGTATTTTTTAGAATGTTTCTCAGTTAGGCTTTGCTTGATGTTTTACTTGTGATTATGTTGGAGTTATGGCTTTGGGGGGAGGTTGATTGCACACATCAAGTGGCATCCTTATCAGATCATATCAAGGGTACATCCTATCAATATCACTTAACACTATTGATCCTCTAGTGAAGGCAGTGTTTTCAGGTTTCCCCACTGTAAAATTATTCTTACCCCCCCCACCTCCTTTCTATACTACATTGTTTGAAAAGATGTCACTGTTTATAGCCTGCACTTAAAAGGTGGAGATTTATGTCTCACCTCCTGGATAGGGGGCTTCACTTGATTTTATATCCATGAAATTGTTTGCCAAGAATATATACTGTCTCTGAATCAAGTTAATATGAAAATTTTGTGCTACGGACTGTGTTCACATTAATTGAATAATGACCTTATGATTGTCTCCCAATGTATACCTATATATATGTTTCTTTCTTTCATGGTGCATATAATACTCGCATTTGGATTAAAGATAAGAAACAAGGCAATTTGATGAAAGAGCTGTACTAGCAGGGTTTATTTACTGGGCTTAGCTTCAAATTGGTTATAAATGGACTCGCGGAGTTCTTTCAAGTGAAATGGGATTTTACAGTTAAATTTAAACCAATTATATGAAGAATTTGATAAAGCAAAAATTAGGAAACTCATAATCTTTTTTATGATAGTATTATTAACACAATTCATGTAATTGCTGACTATGCTATTTGTTATACCCAAATTAATGACTTGAAGCATAGCATTTTCTGGTCAGAGTGAAATGCAATTTATAGACACATTTTAGGGGGAGAATTTAGCCTTGTAAATGACCATAGTGCTAATATTGGAGTTCAATTTTGCAGAATTTAAATTAAGGGCACACACCAGAAAGAAATAATAGAAAACACCTACCTTTTTATGTAGTTGTATGTGTACAAATGTGCATGTATATATGTAAGCATGCATGTGTGTATTATTTTCTATTGAATTAGCGCTGTTTTATAACATAAGTTTTAGGTGCACAATTTCATATTCAAGCATCTGTATATATTGCAATATGATCATAACCAAAAATGTAGGTTCCATCTACCACCATAAAATTGACCCCCTTTACCTGTTTTACCTGCCTCTTTCTCATAACTACCTTTTGTAGTTAGAATCACAGTGCTGGTTTTTGTTTTATTTCGTTTGCTTGATTTGCTTCTTTATCTCCCACTTATAAGTGAATATCCTTATCATAGGATATTTGTCTTTCTTGTATCTGATTTATTTCACTTAACATAATGTCCTCAAGGTTGATTCACATCACAAATGGCAAGATTTCATTTCTTTTATTTCATATCTGAGTAATATTCATTGTGTGTATATGTGTGTATATGTATATATATATGTGTGTATATGTATATGTATACACATCACATCTTTATCCACTCATCTGTGGATGGGCTCTTAGATTGTTTCTATATCTTGGCCACTGTAAATATGCTGCAATAAACATGATGGTGCACATATATTTTTAAATTAGGCAAAACACATGCTATTTGAAAGTAAATAAGGAGAATAGATTTGGTTTCCCACAAATGAAACAAATTCTCCAGTCATTCATTTTAACTTAACATTGTAATAATTCTCTTGGGTATTTTAAACAAGAAGAAAAAGGATTGTTAGATTTAACATGAAGATTCTATATCAGGCTTGACATTTTGTAAAAGTGTTTAAAATATATTTTTGTTTGGAATCGGGCATGTTCCAACAACCTATATTTGAATCATCTAATATCTAGGCCTCATTGGTCAATGTTTTCTTGTGGAACTTAGACTACTATATACCTGTGCACCAAATAAAGCTAGTTTACTATGTTAGTTAATAGTTTAATACTTTGGAAGATGGTCTAGAAAGGGTTTGGTTTTCTTCTATTAATGTTTTAAACCATTATATCAATCAAGTACATATATGGTTATTTTTAATAAAAATTTTTATGTAAATAAATATAATAATATGAAAAGGCTGTGAAAACACTATAATTCTTTGATCCTAAACTTGCATTCTTCATATTTCAAAGGCTAGATTGTTCTTAATAAACTGACATACTTATGTAGCATAAAGCTCTAACTGACAGAAATCTATTTATTAAAAGTAGTACATTTATACATTCATAAAATATAATAACAGCTATGACATACATTGGGGGCACTGTTGTCAGAGCCATCCAGGTAATTTATTATTTTCTAGTCATGCGTACTGATTTCTATAAATAAACTTTCTATCAGTATTAAAGGAAATTTAATCCTAAATGATGTGATGTTTCTGTGGACAAGTAAATAAATGCAAGTATCAACTTGGTGCTATAAGAAATGTTGTATCTTTGAAAAGATTAGAGATTTTGTGATTTCATTAAAATGTGTAATATCCAGTGAGATTTTGCTAAGAAAACATTTTTTGTAGAGTTTTTCTGAGATATAGCAAAAACTTTTCAATGACATTGGCTCCATTCATTCATAAAACTTTCGCTGGGAGTTGACTGACTCTATTCTGCATATTTGGCAGTGATATGGATGAGAATTGGAGTCAGTGCTCTGGAAATTCTGTTACGAATTCCATTTATAGCAGTGTACAGTTGCTCAATAAATTTTGCTTACTTTTCTACCAAAATAGAGTTACTGTATTTTTATTACATAGATTACCAAGTTATAAAATATCATAAATCTTTTGAAAAGCTTCAGAGTCCTTTTGGCAATCTCTTGTTGAAACAAAATCCTACTGGATAGAGTAACTCAACAAACACCTAAATATGATTTCAAAAGTGACTAGCCATGGTCAAGGGACCAGGGGCTAGAAAATACCAAAGGATGAAATAAAACACAGCCTAGTCTTTTAAGGAACTTTAAATCAAGTTATGTACTTATAAGATATTTATCTAAGAGTATCATCTTTGGACTCTGTGTTCAAGCCTTTGATTTATTTAAAAAGCACTTCTAATTCTCTCACAAAGTCAGAAGTATAATTGTACTTTTTAGTAATATTTGGAAATGATAGTATATGCAACAGTAACCACTATTTAAATATCTAAATAATATTCAACGTATAAAGTATGCTATACATATATATATATATACACACACACACCCCATATGTAGTATACATAATATACCTTGAGTATAGAATACATACCTCAAGTCAGACAGACCTGAGTTTGATAGAAGTTACATCACAGCTAATAAACCATGGTATTTATCTAGTTTCTTAAACTTTCTGAGACTCAGCTTTCTACTTTGTATTATGTGGATAAATCCTAACTGTTAATGTCCCTGGGAGAATTTAATGTAACATGTAACAAATGTTTTGCACATTCTTGGCAGAGAACAGGTATGAGCAATTGCTAGGTATTTGTCAGAATAAAAAGCCTTAGACAATGCTTTACTGTGTTTAAAAATGACTTTACCTTTATTATCCAATTTAATTTTATACTTACCTCTGAAACCGAGATATCATTAATTCAGTTATTCAGATAAAGAAACAAGAAGTGCAGTGAGTAGAGGAAATTTGACACATCCAAGTTTTGGACTCTTGTATTCTAGTTCTAGGTACACTACTCTATAAAGAATTAGGAATGGTGAGAATTTGATCACACCTTATTCACACCAAAACCGACCTGCCTGACTTTGGGCAGGATATATAAAATCTTGAAATCTTAACTTCTTCATCTATGTTAAGGGCATGGTTCTAGTTTCTTTTCTCAGTCCTTTCCTGTCCTACTTACACACTGAGAGTCAGAATACAGAGCCATTGATGGAGGCACAGCGCTGCACATGAACTCTTGGATTCAAATCCTATCTCTGCCATTTGTTGGCTCTGTAACTTTAAGCAAGTTACTGAATGTTCTTAAGGCTTATCTTACTCATAACAATGGGTTAATAAATAGTAATTACTTCAGAACTTCATTATGAGAATAAATGAATTAAATTTTACAAAGTACTTAGAGCAGGTTTAGTAGAGAGGAAGCAAGCACATTTGGTCTGATTACTATCCTTAAGTTTTAACATCAAATTTAGTGATTCCAGGTGAGCTACTTTATCCCTTCAACTCATAGAATAGACTTGCCTAAACAATTAAGTGGAACTTCCCATCTGCTTCTTGATCCAATCAAATTGCTGTCCTTGTGTGAAAGGTTCAATAAACTGGTTCTGTTTTAAAGAACAGTTACTGGTGGACATGGCCACATATACGCAGTAGCAGTGTTCGTCTGTCCAGAAATAAATATTTCTATCAACATAAAATCAACACTGAATCTACTCCTGGTACCCCTTTTACTTATGTAAAATGTATAGCAAAAACTTTCTTGCAAAAAAATTATTTAAGTATTTAAATGAGAGTTAAAGAATCACACTGAAATTCATTTTGATAGAAGCATTACTACGCCTACCTTCTATATACTATTTATAAGCAAACCCAAACCCAAGTTTTATTTCAAGAGTGAAAATGTTCATCAAAATCTTTGAAACATCACATATGAATATTATATTTCACTGAAAAGTAATTCAGATAATTGAACAGACATATTGGCACGTATAAGACAGTGGAGTCAACTTAAAAGTAATAGACAAATATTTGAAAAATTGCTTAAAAACAGTTAAGAAGGGTTTCATTTCTATGTCACAACACTTTAGAACATTCTGGAAAAATATTCATGCCCCCAAGTTAATATTTACTAATATAACAATGTTTACTATTTAAGTACAACGTTTATGTGGAGTTCATACTTTGCTCTATAAGAATTAGAAAGATATAGAAACAACTGAGTTTATGAAACGATTGCTAGCACAGTGCAAAAATAATTTGCTTTCATTCCATTTTTTTTTCTTCTGTATTCACTCTTTCTTTTTTGCTAGGTGGCATGCATGCAGTGGTTTCATGGAGACCATACAATGCTTGAGATGATTGAGAAAAAGCGTTGCTTGTGCAAGGAAATAAAGGCTAGACAGAAAACGGAAAAGAGCCTTTGCAAACAGGATAGCATGCCTATCCTACCCAGCTGGAAGAAGAACGCAGGTGCAAAGAAATACAGCCCTCCACCATATTCTAAACAGCAAACGGTATTCTGGGATACGGCCATATGACTGTACGCGATGGCGCCAGCGCCACACCACTAAACAGCAAGAGGGAGTTCGACTCGGTCACATGATAAGTAACTGTTACATATCTTCTCTATCGGAGTGAAATGCCAGCACTTCCCTGGAAAACCCTGGGAAGCTGTGCCTACCATGGCAAGTTCAAGATAAAATGTTTATTTCCTTGCAATGAAGGCACACTTATTTATCCCGGATTATTTTGAATCCAGAAGATATTAAGATGTAAATATTTTACTAGTTTATGGGTGACACCTGAAATAATACACATTATACGTATATAAATTACAGAAATATCAAGAGTTTTACTATATGATATAATTTCGGTATTAACTGGTTTGTTACCTTTTATATGTAATCCCTTGATGCCTTTTATTATTAATTTTTCCATTTAAAATGCTTTTTTTTTTTTCCCCTGCCCACATTCGGCTTCTGTGCAAAAACTCACAGCTATAAATCATGTTCAATCACATAATATATGATCTGGTGCTAGTACTGTAGAAGTTGAATATCATATTCATTAAGTGCATCTGTGGCTTTGTCAGGTTTTGAGGGTTTGACAGGAAATGAATCCAAAAGTGATGCTCAGATTGGACATCCATGTGACATCAACACCAACAATTTTGCTACATTGGTTTTCTAAGAATTCCTCTTCAATATCATCTTCTTTATCAATGGTTAGTCAGAATCCAGAGAAAGTTACTAGGGTATATTTGGACATCCCAGCAGAAAACATTTCCTTCAGAAATGACTTGAGGGACACATGTCCTTTTATCATTGATCTGAGTGGAGGAGACCAGGGTTCACTGTGACAATGGGAAGAACAAGGAATCAAAAGCTAAACAGCTGGACTGCCTTCCAGACGGTGGGGCCGGTGGCCTGGAGCCACTGCAATCGCTGTGCTTAAGTAACTTTTCTTGTTTATGTTTGTTTCTCCCCTAGAAAATGAGAAATAAGCATTCAATCAGACAAGTTTACATATTTTAGTACATGAAATTGCCAATCTTTCTTAACATTTAGGTCCATGAATGGAATAAGATTTCCTGTTAAGTTTTCAAAACTAGTCTCACCACATTCTGGGGTCATAATCTGTGCATGATTATCACGAACCCATTCTCACTGATTATGACCCCATGACCAAAGAATGAATTATGACCACTTGTTTATTTTATTTTGTTTCAAGGAAGAGACAGGAAATGCAGGGGATAGGGAATGGGGGTGAATCAATTTTATGTGGTGGTGAAATTTGAGTTAAACAAATCATATATATCTTTTAAGAGTAACTTGTCCGTTGCATATAAAATTGCCACGGATGAATAAAAAAAGGAAACTATCACATATATTTTCTATATTTAAATTACTATTTATGCTTCCTAAAATTGACAGTATGTGGTTCTTCTTTAACAATCAATTTAGTATTATATTACGAGAGCAAAGGTATGTATTTGAAGCTATCATCAGTGTGGTTTTCCATGTAAGGATTTTGACAGCAATAGCACAGCGCTGCTCAATAAAACCAAATATAACAGGAGTTAGGGAATTTTTGTAATCTATATTGCTAAAAACCGAGTAATGCTTTATCAATAATAGTTTCTTTCAAGCTTTTGAAATGTTATAAAATAATTTTTTAATATTTTATAATTAATGTATATTTTGATGTCCAATTAGAATTCTGAAAGAATAAAGGGAAAAGATAGATGGGACTGTGTGTCCGTTTTGTGTGTCTGTGCTTGTGTGAATGAATACTTAGTGGGAGAAATGTATACATAAAATGCTTCCTAAAATTTTAGGTTTGCTTGTATAAATGAGGTGGTAAATTAAAAAAAAAAAAAAGCAGAGTCACAAGTATAGGAAATCATGGAGAGATATTAAGTAGCTTAAATAAATCCTGTGGCCATGTTTCACCAGTGATAGATTATGTTTCAAACCCAACAATCAATGCAACAAAAATCTAAGAGTGATGAAATGTGTTAAGATAAAATCAGAACCGAAATAAAATGTGTTTATGACGCAAGTTGTTATCCTGAGTTAAGTTATTATGACCACATTTGCTCAAGCCAATCAATCAAACATAAGACATCAGTTCTCAAAATCTTTATGATGATCTTGGTATAAATAGTCAGGATCAGTGTGTTGATGATTGGATAATTCCCTTGAAATGTATATTTAGGTAACATATGCAAGTGTGTGTTTCAGATACCAATCTTTCCCATCTCTCTCTAAATATATATATGTGTGTGTGTGTATACACACACACACACACACATACATACATATTAATACTGGCTACTTGTCAAGAAGGAAACAGAGGTACTAAAATGATTTAAATGATTTGTGTTGGATTCAACCCTTACTATTAATTTTGTCAGTCTCATGTTGTTGCCAGTTGCATGCTCTCCTTTCTCAAGAAATTTATTTTCTGAGGAGATAATATTTGAAAACCTGACTTTCGGCCACCATTTTCATTTGATTTCTCCAAATCTCAATGGAAAGTGATGGAAAGATCTGGAAAAGTGGCTTCAATGATACTTGACGCAAGAACTGTTAGTCTATGCCTATCAATTGTTCCTTGTGGCTTAGCCTCTGTGGCAATAGCCATTCTATCAGTTTCTTTATGTGGAGAAAAATGGTTATTAGGATAGAGAGAAGAATAAGCTTACTCTCTAGGGCAGTCAATCTGGATACTACAACCTATGAATTTGTCAGGTGATAGAAACATACCACCTACGACCGGAACACTATAGGATGATAAAGCTCATATTTTCAGCAGTGCCAAAAACCAAATTATATCATGGCTTGGTTATCAGGTTGAAAGAACTCATACCTATGAAAAATAGTCTTTCTACAGCAAATTTATATAGATATAGAATTATTGACTGTCAGCAAGATGCTTTTCCATGTGAAAAAATGTCTTAGCAGAGAGGAGACAAATTTCTTTAGAACTGATGGAAAAATCAAATGCTGCACTTTTGCCCAAACCCAGAGGGCATCATCTGCTGAGGCACGTGCAGAAGTTCTTGGAGTAGATAATGCCACGCTTCCCCCCATGGTTATGCTGTTGAGGCAAGTTTGGAGTGAAAGCGATTGATCTGTGTAAATGAAGGTAAATGTCCACCCAGATAGAATAGTTGGGAAAGTGAAATGAAGAACATTGAATTTAAATTATGTCATTTTATTCAAGTAACCTATTTGGCTGTCTTCACTAAAATTAAATTAAATTAAATAAAACAACAAAGCATTGTGCATGCAATGTCACTTTTATATCACTTACACGTTCAGGTAGTTCACTTTCCTAAAATAGTAAAGAACTTGTAAACTAAACATGGCTACCAATGAGATTAAGAAAAGAGTCTTATGATTTAAGCAGTAAGTAAAGTGAGAGAAGAGATAATTCACCCTTGCAAAGGAATAGAAGTGGAATAGAAGGGTAATTCACAATACTTTGTCTCCCCAACTTAAATGAAAGTGAAAGAAAAAAAGCTACCTAGGGTATTTCAGATTAACTCACTGCATCTTCTCTGTACAGGAAAATTGATAGCTAATTGTAGAATGTGGACAACTTATTAATCCATTATTAATTTAACAGTTCTTAATTGAGCAACTTATCAGTTTTTTTTTTTTAGATTTCTGAAACACTTGAAATTAAACATTCAAAAAAATGTGGTCCCTGCCTTCAAGGAGATTAATTATGCAATCATTCATATTTAAAAACAAAGTCAGTTGTTTTTAAGAAAATATATAATATCACATGTGTTTGACATCTCTTCTGAGTTTATATATGGTATTCTCTTTTTTTTTTCAGATCAAGTGTACAGTCAAAATAAAATACTAAAACATGAAAGTTAATGTCTCAGTATAAACTGTTTTTGTGTAAGCCTCTCTATGTACACATAGAATATGTACTGGTGTCTATGTAAAACAGTAAAAGGATAACACGTTTTGCCATGTTGGACTTGAACATTATGGCTTGGGGTTTGGATTAATTAAAAACCCTTTGATATTTGGATCAATTGTATTATAGCATATGTGTGTCATTTGGAAAAAAGTGTCTGGTTGCCTTTCTCTTTAAACATGGTTTCAAATTTAGGGGAAACCTCTTAACAAAAAACTTCAATTTTTCTCAACCAACATATATGAAGATCTTTTCAAAGTGTTCAATTGTTCCCAAATATGACTGGGTTTGCCCACCCTGAAAGCATTGACATTTACACATGTATACACCCACATACAGTATACATACTGTATATAATAAATATGAAAATGTTTAGTATGCACCTCTTTTGTTTGGAACTCCTTAAGTTAACATTTATAGTGTAGCAATTTGTGTGAAGTGCACTGTGATTATAAAAAACAAAGCACAGTAAAGTCACAGGTCTTGTTATCTTGCACTAAAAATGTGTTTACGTATTTAGCAATTGTATGTTTACTTTCTTGCTCTTTTCAAGAAATTGAAACAAATAGCTATTGAGAACATGATATAATATGTTTTTTAGTGGATAATGGCACTACATTTTTAAAAGACAGGGTTTTTAAAAGAAACCATTTAGCATCCATTCCAGTAAATCATGTTTACCATATCTAAAAACTGAATGTCATATTGCATTTTTCCTAACTCATTAAAAATGTCAGGTATGTGCCTGAAAAATTGTGCAAATAAACATTAGATAGCAGATTTCTCTACTTATGTGTTGTTAGCCATTTCTTATACATAATAATATTAACACTGATGTTTTAATTTCTCTTAATTTTTGTACTTGATTTTTTTAGGTAACATGTAATTATAAATGTACTTTGATACTACTGCAGTAATCACTTGTTGTTTGAAAGAAAATTGTTTTCTTTTGTGCATTGGCAATATTTTACAATAATTTTGTGCTTATTTATTTGTGCTCCAGTGTAATTATAATAAAAGCAATAGTTTAAATTAGTTGATTTTGTCATTTTTGGTATTTATTCATCAAGAAATTAGATTATTAAGATTAAATTTGATTGCAACTGTCTCTGAGATTGTATATATTGTGGACAATTAATGCAGGTGAGGATAAGGCCCTGGCCTCCTCAGTTTAGTTGCGTGACCTCTAGTTGTCCTCAATCACCATTTGGTTCCTACTCAAACAAATGATACATTAAGAAGGAAGA